TCACGAGGTTTGCTAACTATGCTGTTGTGATTGGCTTCTAAAGGGGGCTTCAATTTACTTGGAAGCATACACTCTGTTGACAAAACTTTCATACATAATACACATTGTGGTCTCTCTTCACCATTAATTTTTGTTTATGTAAAACCTAACTCCAACTAACTGTCATCATATTTACTATATTTTCGTTTCTTCACACTAGTGCCACTGGTTAAAGGCATACTTTCTTTATCTGCACTATTACGTTTAGAACTATTCAAAAATCGGTCCATTATCAAAGATAAGAGCCAAAAATCACATAATTATTTACCAAAGACAACAAACAAGAAGTAATATAACTCTAACTCCCCGGGGCGGCGCGGCGCACAGTTTGGGAATCACTGCCTTAATAGATTGATGTTGGAATGCCTTTCTTTTCGTTTGAAGCAGCGATTTGAAGGTATTTATAATTTGGCTTCATCGTAAGCTGTAGGGAGATTGCCCTGGAGCCATGATTCGATTTGTGCGAATAGGTGCTCGAAGCACCGCCCTGCAACTCCGATTGATCCTTGATGAGATTTTTCTGCCATGTTACGGGCATCGTCGGAGCAGGACACCATGCTTAATGATAATTCACCAAACCACTAAGACAAGAAAGGTGGTCGCCTTTGAATCTATCTGCTTCTCATATTCCAATTTGGTCCAATTTTTCTGATACATTTTGAAATTTTTTGATGGGAACCGAAACTTTCTTGCTACTATATGGTAAAAAATAAAAGGGTACTTTTTTGTAGATCTAATTCTTGCACTCAGAGTATTCTGAATTAATTTTTAGCAAAGCTAAATATTAGCCTTCTTTTATTTATCAATATTTTCGAGGTTTTGCTTTTTATTACCTCACGAAATACAAGAAATTATTATCTAGTCACCCGTTTTTATCTTCTGCTCTGTTGATCATTATTCAAGGACCTCTGCTACTTTACACCTGCTACATATACTACTTTTTACACCTTTTCTTCCTGAAACTTATTTATGCTCTTTAATATTTAAGTTGATGGAGTGGATTTGACTTCATTTTCGCACCTTGGCTTCAGGCACAAGGAGACCTTGTTGAACCTACCTAGTCCTGTCTTTGACACAATTTGCACGATGATTTCCAGGAAATCATTCCGTTTACTTGGTACATCCCTAGACTTTTCGCCAACATCGTCAGAGAAGGATGCTATCATTAGCACAAAGTTAAAACTTATCAAAATGACAATCAAAGGCAATACCCTTGACCAATATTCTGTTTAACCGTTATGGTATCACTACTCCTGTTTTATTTTTGTCATAGCTTCTTAAGTTGGATCTCTTTATCTCAACCCTAATTGATATCGCTAATTTACTTATTCACACCATTCTAAGTTCTCATTTTCTGTAATGTCGCCTAAGAGTGTCAGTTCAAGTTGATTTAGTGAAACCTAATCACCTTCACCACCGATTTAAGATGCTCTTTGCAGGGATTCTGGGCCAGGGCTTCTGGCTTCCACTTAGCTTCTCTCCATCCAGGAAATCAACTCTTCCCTATTACGCATAAAAATTACGGTCTGGCTGTCTGAAATTGGGCTGCCTATAAGCTTTTGATTCCGACACCCGTTTACGTCATATTCGAGGATTTAGAGACTAATGATTCTCATGCGTAGACATCTCCATAGGCTTCAGACCCATGTCTTCTCACACCCCACCTTATTCTCTCTCATTCTCTGGGCTCTGACTTTGGCTTGATTTGGAACCGCTGGTATGAAAATTGACAACTTTTCTTCTTAATTTCTAATTCACATAAAGCACGCTCCTCTTAAATTAAAAGTTGGCAATCCTACCTAATTATAAGGTCATGATAAATTGCGTAATTTTACCACAATTCAAGGTATACTGATAGATTTAAACACCACTGTCTCTAAATATAAAAAATCTAATCAATTGTAATAGCCTTAAAATTCAAATCTTCCTTGTGACGCACCAGCATCTCTGGTAGTGTATCGTAGTCGTAGCATGTCGAAATTGTTTTCCTGGCTTCAAGCCCCACTGGGCGTCAATCAAACCAGGACGAGATCTAAACTGCAGCCCAGTTCAGCCTGGATAGAATAATATTTGGCTATGTGAAATTCATGGGAAATGTGAAGCCTACTTAAGTCTTCACTATTTTACGCGACTTAAGGTAAATATAGCTCTTATATGAGATCTACTAGTGGTTTTAAAATTCATTTTGTCTATAAAGCATTAAATTTAAAGATAGATTTCTTTCATATGATCTTAATATAATATTGATTAGTATCGTTTTATCCTTCAGGACTGTTTTACTTTTGCTCCGACCAAATAAAACTAGTTTTTAAACCGAAATTGCCTATATTATTTGATAAATCATGCTATTTTACCTACTAATGAAAAAGGAACAATCCAATATGTCCGTGATGACGGTTCTCATCAATTATCTATCTTATCATACTTAAAACTATTGAGTAGGCCATTATTTTATCCAAGTTTCAAGACCAAGATGGTTTGGTCTTTTTTGTGGTCGCAGTCTCTATTATTTTATCGTTTTTTTAACGAGTTTGAAATTTGAATTTGTAAAAGCAGAAAAAAATTTCTTGACTTTTCATAAGCTGGATGGAAATATAATGTTTGTTTAAATATATATATATATATATATAATGTATGTCCAATACTTATGAGAATGAAAGCAGAGAATGGAAGAAAGGGCTGGTATTCTCATTGGATTCTCAAACTCTCTAGATTGTCTGTTCAATCTGAGTCAAATAACCTATTTTCATGAAATTCATAGAATTGTTTGTTTTGCCATCTAACATAACAGCCATTTAGAATTGTTTAATTCAGCTTAAACACTGTGATTACATATAATTTGGCTATGGCATGTGTCTGAGTCAGTATTTATGGCTTTAGTTGATCTGTATAGCTAATAGTTAGATAACGGTTCATTGCTGATTGTTGAGCTCCTGATAAGTCATGAAAGCTAGTATCCCCTGTTTACACATGACAGACTATTCTTATTTCGTGATTAGGTTTTTGACTCATAGACTACTCCTATCACTTCTCATAATCATAATCGATTTCTATTAGCATTGTGAATTTTATACGACTATTTACTCTCTATCAGCCAGATTTTTGTGTTTATACGTCCCAATTTATTTTGTATATATTTTTTTCTTTGTTATAGGTGAAGGCAGGCCCCCGTTGGGTTATGATTGATGGACTCAACCTTTCGGCAATTCGTGAGGTCAAGTTGCTTCGTGAGCTAGATCACCCGAATGTACTCTGTCTGTTGGACGTTTTCAGCCAGGACCGCGGTGTCTGCCTCGTTTTCGATTTTATGGAATCCGACCTTGAGGCCTTAGTTCACGATAGCACTCTGGTTCTTACGCCAGCCCACATAAAGGCTCTTAGTTTACAGGCTAGTCTGCTTTGATTCCCTCATCTTTATATCTATTCCATTCATATCATTTCTTACCTTGAAATCTTTATCATATTTGTTACTAACTCGATGAGATTGTTTAGCTTAGTGGCACCCTTGGGCTGTTAAGTAACTCATCTATACTAACACCAAAATTGAAATTGCTATAAGAGAGATGCTTAAGTTTGCTGTAACTTGTCACAGTGTTCTTAGAATAAAGATACATACATGTCCTCGTAAGAAATTTAGTAAATTGGATATTCGAAGTCGACGAAGTTAGTGATAACTTTTGCCTAATCAAACGCGGGACAAATAGGGATATGGCAAGGCCAGCAAAAAAGAAATGCGTGGTTAATTGACCTATCATTAACCGGTGAAAAAGGGATCGCGAAGGTGTGAAAAAGTAACATTCTTAAATCAAAAGAAGGCGCTTTCAGTCAGTTTAATTTACTTGATGAATCAGCTGTAACTTTTGGGGCCTGGCGGTCATAATAATAGCAAGAAGAAGTATCAACACTGTAAATCGGTGCCAAATTGACTAGAAATCCATTCGAGATGCAACAGGAGACCATATTATTTAATTGAGATAAATAGGAATTAAGTAAAGATATGAAGACCAAGATGGTGTGGCCCCTGTTATTGTCGCAGTTTCCTTTCGTTTTATGCTAGTGGGTTGACCTCGTTGTCGCTAATTGGTCATGTTTCAGGGGGACTTAATAGAACGCACCTAGTCCGAAGTCCTTTACCATAGTAGTTATCATAATTCCCAGCATCACAGTGGATTTAGTACATTTGCCGGCATCGTAGTTCGGAAAACGTTTAAGAATGTACTAAATCAACTGAGTTCTATAAAGAAATTCTAAAAACTTAGCGGTCATGTCTGAGAATCTCTTTTACTTTCAAATAAATTGTATCAGGGACAGAATATCCCCACTGTATAACAATCAACATAATGAGACGGAATCTTTTCCTACATAGACTAAACATGTTTCCCGATCTCCACATACAGGTACCCGATACAAAAATTAATCACTTTCTTACGTCATATTCTTGCTTGGTATTATTGTTGCTTCCATCCTGCATAAAGGGCAGGTTTTTGAGCCGGGTTTCTTTCTATTTAACATTAGATAATCTATCCTAAATTTGATCTGATTATATACTGTGAATAATATTCACACATCTATATATTAACTAATTGTTTGTGCTTTCATTACCTCTGCTAATGTTCGATTTGGATATAGGTCATAGACGCATAATCTAGAGTTAATAGCTTGATGAAATCTAACAATGTTTAATCCTCTTATTATTCTAGCTTCTCCGAGGTGTCGAATACTTACATGCTCATTGGATCCTGCATCGAGATCTTAAACCAAACAACCTCTTCCTTAGTCGCGAAGGTCGAGTGAAGATTGGTGACTTCGGATTGGCTCGACATTTTGCTGCTTCACCTGGGCGTCGCATGACTCATCAAGTCGGCACTCGTTGGTACCGTGCTCCGGAGCTCTTCTATGGATGCACTCAATACGGTGTAGGAATAGATCTCTGGGCGGTTGGATGCATTATTGCTGAATTTTTACTTCGGGCGCCTCTTTTTCCTGCCGATTGTGACCTCACACAGCTAGCTAAGATATATGATGTTAGTATCTGATGTTTGCTTACTCGTAATTTCCTTGCTAGATAACATATTAATCATAAATTTATAATTGTAAGATAAATGCGAAAATTCTTGTCAAAGACTATTCATTGATTAGATGCTGATACAACTTCTATGATGCGCATGATCTTTTTTAATCATAAAATATAAATAAATATTTTTTCCTTGAATATGCTTTAAAAAGATTGCCTGAATGAATTTACAAATAATCAGTCCTAGTTATTTTCCTTTCTCGGATTCTATCAATAAACCATATGTTTTATTACACCTAGTTGATTAATAGTAGTTCTAGGCCCTGCATTTGTTGTCAAGTTTTTCTATTTACCTTGTCTTTCATTAGATATATATTCCTATTTTTGTGCAGATTCAAACTCGTTTTCGCAACTTGGTCAGTGTCAAGGAGACCTTGTGGAATGTACCTAGTCTTGCGTTCTCTGCAATAGTATTCTTGATTTTCAGCATCAGACCATTGACCTGATACATTCTCAAACGATGCTCGAAATCATAAATATTATGGCAGAGGACACTGGACTAGGTACGTTCCACAATGTCTTCCTGATGCTCCGACCAAGTTGCCAAATGAGGTCGAACCGGAGGCTCTCATATCAATGATTATTTTTTCTTTAATTATGCTAAAATTCGTCCTCACCAAGCCCGAATATTACACTTGCAAGATTACCTTACTTACTATTAAAAACCTTCTTGCTTCTGGCATAATTGGATTACTACCGCCTGCTTGCCTTGATTCTAGTTATATATTTCCACGTCCTTTATACTTATTTGGCATTAACCTTATGTATATTAATTTACTCGATATTTTATATTTTTTGATAAGAGTCCTAAGCCAACTTTATCTCATTGCCTTTAACTGTCTCCTACCTCTTATTTCCATGCAGATAATTATAATTGATTTGTTTAATTTGTCAATCTAATTTCATATGATACGCCTAGTCTTTTTGAACTATATAGCTACTTGGAAAATTTCATATTTATCAAGCTCAGATCGCAGCTACTTGATATTGGGTTCACACGAGCCATTTCCTTTATCCTTTCTGTTTATTGACTTTCGCATTAACTATTTGGACTTTATATTGTTATCCTACATTATCATCTTAAAACTTCTTATTTAGATAACTGGGACTCCAGACGAGAGAACCTGGCCTGATGTAGCTCGTCTCCCTAATTATGTTACATTTGAACCAAGACCTGGAATCCCTTTCGGTCAAATTTTCACGGCTGCTGGTCAACCGCTGCTTGATCTTCTTTCTACTCTGCTGAACCTCTCGCCTGATAGCCGGGGAACAGCATCGTCAGCACTCTCATCACGTTACTTTGCTTTGCTTCCGGCCCCTACCTCTGAAAACCGGCTCCCACAACCGAAGATAAGCCGCACTGTGGCTAGCCTTTTGCAAGCTCACCAACATCAGCGAAATATGGCGAATCCTTTAGATCCAGCTACTGTCGCTACAGTAAATGCGGGTGCAAGTAGCAGCAACATTGGCGGTAGGACTATCGGTAGTTCTGCACTTGCTGGGAGTGGACTTCGTGGTTCCAGTGGTCCAGGCATTGCTAGTACTGGCTCAGGTTCAATGGCATTCCGAGTTTCCAGTTGCATCGGCGGCCCGGGCATGCCAAGCACTCCACCTACGAGCAAAGTAGCCGGTTGTGATGATCAAGAGAGCGAACAAACATGGACAGAGACGCCAGTGGGAAGATTGTCGACGATTGCTGTCAAGCGTCGTATTCCTGATCCTGGCCGAAAGGATATTGGAGAAGCTGAACTTCGTGTGAAGCCTAAAAAGTTGTGCTTCTGACACTTGTATAGTGTATAAAGCCCCTAAAAGTATTCTATTTTTATAATATTACTCTAATACAGTCGATGTATTATAAATGTTGTTGCTATCTGATATATCATTTTGATTTGTAACCCCATCTACTCATTGATCGGGATTGAGTTGATCTTTCGTAATGAAATTTTTATTTATCTTGGTTGTCAATTCTTTGCTATCATCACTGCATCGTTTTACTGTCAGTAATTATTTAAGAGTAATAACGACCATCGTTTTGTTGAGCAGGCATTCACTCAATTCAAAAGTAAACCGTGAAAATATCCATTGGTGGCTCTTACTAGAAAACGACGGCTTGAGCTTAATTAGCAGATTTGTGCTCACAAGGCTTTGGTGCACAATTTTCAGTTTCTGTTAAAACATATTTAACTTTAAGATGTTCAGGTTAAGTCATTTGAGGGTAAAATCCAGAAAGATCATCTGAATTTTTTATCCTTAAAGAGCTAACTTATGTATTTTATAAAAACTGTTTATTACAACAAAAAATGCTGAAAATTATGCGTTTATTTGCTCGTCTTTTCCTAGCCATTATTCTGGGATTCATATAGTCCTTTCGTAGAAATTTTACCAACTGATCGGCACTACTAATAACTTATTACTTGTTAGAACGCAATTTTAGCACAACTATTTCAAATTAAATGGGCTATAAGATCACTTATTACGTACATTATACCCATTTGAAAGATGTGGATATTATTTTTTTTTAGTTGGTTTTTGAGACTACAACTTATATAAATGTGTAGTAATTGCATATGTATTGCTAGTTTAAATTATGTATTAATTCTATGTTGTCATTTTCAATCAAATTTCATGATAAAACAACATCATCGTTACTTACCTTGTACATTATGTATTTTACCTTATTCCAAACTTGTAGAATGGTCACCACCTGCTTTTTAGTGGATACACTTTTCTCTAGTTGCCACGATAACTATATGACTATGGATAGCAACATTTATTATTAGAGGGAAAGCAGCACGCTCTAGAACGAGCACTTTACGAAATTTCTTTTCTCACAGGCCTCGCACACTTTTTAGCACGAATAACTGGTGCTACCTCCAAAGCCTGCTCTTCAGTTTCCTGTGGGCATAGTTATTATTTATAAATTCCAAGAATTTAAAATTATATTTGTTTTAACAATATTATATTAAATAGCCTAATTTTCCTTATCTTTCCATGCCGTGTTAATGACGTGTCCATAATAAAAGGAGAATTAGACTTTAATCTCCAATTTTTAGTTATTATAGATTGTTTATTTAAGACTAGCTCATGAGAACTGGAACGCAAGTTCGATCATCATTAGGTATTAGGTAATTTTAACTAAAGATAGGCAAGGATTATACTCACGCTTATATAAAGTTTTCATATTCCTTATCAGTAAAGTGTAATGTTGTCAGATTGGCATAGTTGAACTTACTTTATTCGAAGACCTCTGCTATAATAAGTGTGATACTTCCCTGCTTCGGACCGTGAACTTAATAAATGCTCAGATGACTCGCCTGCATTTTGGTCGGCATCGCCAGTGGGGAATTGTATTATCCCTTTACCTCTACGTACACCATATCCTCGTATCTCGCCCTCGAAACTACAACACGCCTTGTTTATATACTAATACTTTAAATGTTTGCATTTTTGGTGAGATTATTAAGGCGCTAATATGCGAAGAGGGCTTACGGCCTTCCAAAAATAAACAAGGAAGGAGTTCCTTTAAGAGTGATTGTTAATAACAAAGGTATTGTGATGCATAGGATTTTACGGTTCTTATGTAGACAAAAGAGGAAAATGGCTGAGTATTGGAAAAATTCAGTGAAGAATTCATATGAATTCGCTAGAATAATAGATCAGTAGAGTATTAAGGAGGATCTTTTGGATAATCTTGATGTGGTATCAATGTATACTAAAATCCCAGTTCGTAAAGCTATTAAAGCACTAACATCAGCCTAGATGAGCACCCAGGAATTATAGGGAAAGCTAATTTGAGCAAAAGCTTAATATTAAGGCTTCTTAATCTATACATGAGCAGCACATACTTTACTTTTTATGAAAAGAAGTGGATTGATCTCGTTGTCGCAACTTGGTCTTGTTATCAGGTCGACTTATAGAACGCACCTTGTCAGAAATCGTCTGCCATAGTAGTTGTCATGAGTCCCAGCATCAGAAAGTGGAGTTGGTACATTCTAAAACATTTCGCCGGCACCATCAGAGAGTTTTGTAATTCTTTACACCAAGCTACGAACTTATTAAAGAGACAAGTGAAGTCAATCCCTCGACAAACGTTCTGCCGAAAAAGGTTACACTATCACTCCTCTTTCTGTCCTGGCCTGTCTATCTACTCTTTACTCTCTTATCCCACTGCCGCCCTATCACAACTTCTCATTTGTTTACATTCCACTCGTCAAAATGTGTTCCCTTTTGTGGCAAATCTAGCGCGGTCTCATCACATTTGCTATTCATCTCGATCAACTCTCGTTCGAACGGCTGATCCGACTCGGGCCTCCAATCCGGATCCCCTCATTGCTTCGTAGATCCGTTCCTTATCTTTCTGTTTGACCGATTTTACTCGGTTCCAGTCCCATCGTTCGTTTCACTTCAGGCGCTATTTCTTAAGGTCATAGAAGGACCCGTGATGGGATGGCTTGATATCTGCAAGCATGGGAATCAGAGCTTAGGTGCTCTGTTTAGTAAAGCGACAGTGTCCGCGCTTCTATCGCCTTTAAAAATAGCGCCTTGAGTGAAATGAACACTGAGACTGGAACCGATTAAAATCGGTCTACCAGAAAGATAAGAAACGGATCTACGAGACAATGAGGCCCGAGTCGGATCAGCCGTTAGAACGAGATGGGGTCGGGGTGAATAGCAAGTGTGTAGAGGCCACATTAGACTTGAAGGAAAAGGGCACGCATTTTGACAAGTGGAATGTTAACAAGTGAGAAGTTGTGATAGAGCTGCAATGGGATAAGAGTGTAAAGAGTAGATAGATAGGCAATTACAGAAAGATGAGTGATAGTGTAACCGTTTTCGGCAGAATGGTTGTCGAGGGATTGACTTACTTGCCTCTGACGCGTTCGTAGCTTGGTGCGGAGAATGGCAAAGCTCACTGATGATGCCGGCAAACGTTTGAGAATGTATCAATTACACTGTCAGATGCTGGGAATCAAGACAACTAATATGGCAGACGACTTCGGACTAGGTGCGTTCTACATAGTCCCCTTGACAACAAGACTAAGTTGCGACAGCGAGGTCAACCAACTTCTATAAATCGAAGGAAGTCTGCGACCATACGAGAGGCCACAACATCTTTAATGATAAGTTTTCTGAACAGTGGAAGCCCTAGAGATGGGGTCTTGCTTGGGTCCAATTTTAGCTACTAATTACGCGTCAAGATTGAAGGAACACTTCATGAAACGGGTAAGATACTGTTAGTTAGATATACGTATGACTACTCTGCCATATAACAGCATGGCAAGGATAGTTTAGATAATTTCTTGTTTTTAATTAACCAGATTGACTACAATGTTAAGTTGACAATGGAGCTGGAGATTAGCAATAATTTACTATTTTTAGATGTCTTAGTCATCAGATCTGGTGAGAAGTTATGCAGGGATTTATAAACAATGCCGGCTTTATACTT